GGCGCGTCTCGTGATTTGGGATACCGCGCAAGAATGGACTTACTTTGTACACTTGGCGCAACACGAACAGCAAACATCCGTATCTCCCTTGAGTCTTCGAGGATTCCCGGGATCCTTGACGAGACAATCGCGGGATCTTATAGGTATGGATTTCATTCTTTTTACTTTGGTGAATAAGTTTTTCAATATTGTTCATATATATGTATTCAAATTATGGATCAAATTTTTGGATTCAAATCGATAGAAATACAAAATGTGCTATTCATCACGTTAAATTCGGATGTATGAGCTGTTCATGTCCATACTATATTATTTCTAGATTCAAATGGATTGAAAAATCAAAAGTGCGAATTCGGAAATGTTGAAATGAAATTTATTTCTATTCATTTCAAATTATTTTCGTTTGCCGGATGACTTATAATCGGGATCACTTTATTTCAGATGATTCTGTAGCAAAACCAAGCAACTTCAAGCCCTATCAACCTGTTTCGAACGAACAAATCTCACAAGTAATCGCGCTACAAGAATGCTTGAACACTAATACTTTGGGACAGCTATGGACTTCAAGCATGCCTTTCTTATATCCTTTTATTGTACAATTTAGGTACGTTTGCGAATGTACGCGGATGTATATGTCATATTTATTGTTAATCGATTATGCATCGTCAAGAAAAAAATAATTAAAAGAAAGAATATTTTCAAAAAGCGAGAGAAAAAATTCAAATTTAAAAATAATTTTTTTTTAATTTCCGATAAAAAAGAAATTTCTTGAAAATTTCAGATTTTCCAGTTTTTCCAAAATAAGCTCTGTATAAATCCAAGTTTTTAATTAAATTTCAATATGAAATTTTGTATTATATTTTTTAGCTTTTCTATAGAAGTCTTATTCCCTTAGAGGAACTCTTATAATATTCTCCTTCCAGCTTGATCGCCGCAGCGGTGACCTTCGTGATGGGTCAGAACGTCGGTCGGAGTAGATTGATTAAACAAAAATTCCACGGCAGCAAGGATTTAAATAGTCACACCAGAGTAGGTTGCGATGGTTCCAGCAAGGGCCTTTTTCTGGGTATTCTCTGCATGGTAGCTGGTATCGTGGTGATCCTCATCTTCCTCGTCGTGCGAGAGGATGAAAACTTTCCCTCCGCCACATTGTCGTGGCTTACATGCGGCACTCTGATCGGTATACTGACGCTGAGTAGTCTGATGACAGCCAGTGGTCTCGTGCAGGTGCGTCAGATTTCGGTAGTGACACGAGCGCCTGCCGCCCTGGATAGCCTTCTGTTAAACGTGTCGCTCTTCGGGGTGCAACTCTATTCCGTCTTCACCATCGTGGTGTGCGCTTGTTCACTGGCCATATCAGATCACGACGAGACAGAGGATACACGAGCCAGACACATCATGCTGCTGTCAATGTCAATCCTGCAGCTGGTACAGTGCTTCGCGCAGAGCACGCTGATCGCCGAAACCTCACGACGTTCCTGCATAACACGCTTCCAAATGCTGGCAAAACCCGGTCGCCAAGTGATCACTTTCCTACTGTTCAGCAACGCCGTGCTCTGGGCCTTTGATACCGTAATCACGCAAAATTGGCTATCGCAAGAGCTGCAGCTTCGATTCTTCGGCGTGCTCGTTTGGGGTGTACTATCCAGGATCGGACTGCCTCTTCTAATCTTCTACAGGTTCCACAGCTGCGTACTGCTATTGGAGGCATGGAACAAGTGCTACAGAACGCCACGGGGGGAACATCCTCTCAACTGACAACGTGGAATCTCACACCGACTCTCGTGCAGGTTCGTTGGAAGTAGCATAATCAGCAACGATTAACTTTCTTGACTAGTCAGCACGATCATATGGGATCGTGCCATCATAAGTGAGAAATGACACGTTGAAATATCATATTATCGTTATTGTAAATAAAAAGAATCTGGGTAACAATGAGATCGCTTTAAAATAAACGGTAAAAATATCTTTAAGTGTTTAAAAAATGAAGACAAGAATAAAAAAAAAATTTTAATATCATAAAATTAAACACTTCTTTTTCAGTATATACAGTTTCAATTTCAAGAAATTCTAATTGTTTTCAATTCGTGAATGTACAGTCTAATTTAAAACGAAAAAATTAATAAATTAAAGTTTGATTTCTGTGTAATTTTTTTTTTGAATAAAAATCAATATTAATTGATGAACTTAATGTCTCTTTTAATATATTATTTATAAAATACATCATGTCAATAGACTGCATTCTGGCTCGCAAGAATCTTACCATCCCAGGAGATCAATGCCAATGAACAACGAATATGCTTACAAGCGACTACTACGTCCAAATTCGCTGTCGTTGGACGCAATGCATTTTCTCCCCTATGTGGATAGTGCGAGCTGGCTGTACCTGGATCCGAATCCCATTTTTCCCGTACGCCTACCGAGTCTGGATTGCGACGCATCGTTAACGTCCGAACAGCATCGTCACCACCATCACCATCATTATCATTGTCATCACCGCCATCGCGGCTGCCAGAGGAGACATCGTCGAGTACTGAGTGATCCCGGAGGATGGAACACCGGTATTCGAATGGACGCGACGCGACACCGACGAGTACTCAGCAATGCCGGTATCGATATTATGCGAGCGTCAATAGAGGAGGCCAATGAAGATAATCTATCGCTCGAGGAGGAGACAATGCTTAAAATTAGGAGAACGTAACACAACTAAGTACATGATTGCAAGAAAGAATAAAAGCGAATGAATATCTTGAACAAATCTAAAAGAAATCTTGAAAAGATTGAAAGATCTAATCTTTTCAAAAAATTTTTAGAATCTTGTATTATTTGAAGCTTAATTGTTATTAAGAAATAAGCGCATGTGTTAATTTCAAATTTATGATCGTACTGTTGTCATATTGTAAAGTTTTTTTCTAGTAAACTCTATATAATTCAAAATAAAATAATTCCATAATTATGATATTGCAAATTATAAATTATAAATTGCTTTAAGATTGCATTATGAATATCGTTAAATTAATAATTTACACACGATATACATTCGATACATTTAATGCGTCATTTGCCTCTGCACAATTACAACGGATTTTTATAAAAGATATTCCAAGGAAAAAATTTGGACTCAAAAACTGGTGGTGAATCATATTTATTGCTCCAATAACGAGATTTAATTTTATCTAATTTTTATCTAATTTTATCTGAAATAGAACGCTCTTTTGCAATGACCTCTGAGAATGCGATATACCGTTCGATTTCACGTGCAATATTTCTAGATTTTAAGTTCACGTTATAAATAATGTACAAATGTTCGTTATAGACGTGCGTCGTAGACGACGATACGACGACGATACATTCCGTCGTCTCTATCGCGAGAGCCATTAGGATTGCATCGCATTCGTGAGAACGATGAGCGATGCAATGCTTTGTACCTTATTAATTAATGCTGAAAGAGTTGTAATTATTATTCGCGAGCGTATATTTTTGTACATATTTATTGCAAACATTTTATATATGGATCTGATACGATAACACACGAAACAGAATTCTTAGTAGAACTCCGTTTGTTACATCTATTTAGAGGTAAGACTCTACTTATTATTGGATATAATCTAAGAAAAGTAATAAAATTTATTATAATAAGTTTTCCCCACATCCTAACACCGTTTTCATACATTACTTCAAATAAGAGAAGATCGTATTGATACATAATCAAAGTTAAACATGCATATATCTTTAAGTAATTTTATAATCTATATATATATATTCTACTGTTAACGGGTTATGCAAGTTTTATCATTAATAAATACGCAGCCAGTATTCACTTCAATTATCTTGAAAAAAAAAAGTATTCAAGATAATTTAAAAAATCTTAAAGTTTATATTCTTAAGATGATTAAGATTATTTATTCACAAACAGGTATTTTCGTATTCAAATTATTAATTAATGATAAAGTAAAAGAAAACTACCATCTATAATGATTATAATATTTTGTAAGATTTTTAGTAAACGCTTAATTTGAGAAGTTTCTCTCTCGAAATATGATCGTGATAAATGGAGTTCTGCTTGCGGTATCTAGTTAGAAAGTTAGGTCGCATTATTTTGTTACCTTATAAGTACTCAACAGTTTATATCTATTCCGCGTACGAAAAAATAACATTATTTCGTGTCCAATGCTTCATTTTATATCAACGTACAAATATATTGCATTTTTTGGACGAACAAATAGCAAGGCAGTGCCGATTTAGTTAATCCTCTTTAGTTGCGAAAAATATTAATCGATTTTAACTCTAAAACGGTACGTTTTGTCACAGAAATGACACATTGGGTATGACATACCTAATATTCAATTTTAGTTCCTAACAACTTTCATAAAAATGAATATACTATAACAAATTTTTTCAATCGAAACGCCAGACATTAAGGGACATAATAGTATCGAGCAAATGTATATAACTTTATTAATTAATATAGTAGTAAAATCACAAATGAAATCCCAATATGAACTTTCGATCATAATTATTAAAAAATTTGCTCTTTTCTTACAAAAAATGGCATCTCAGGTGGCACTCCGCCAGGTAGATTATTTATAACTTTCAAAATTATAGAAATATCGATTTAAAAAAAAAAGTGTATCATACTCAGCGTGTCACTTTAGTGTTAAATAATTTAATGTGTAATTTACTAAATTTTCTATTTTTCTTTTTTAATAAATTCGATGGCGATTAATTATATTATTAACAATGGCGATAAATAATATCATTAACGGCACTGATATAGAAATATTAAGCAAGATAAATGTTAAAAATTAAATTTCAACAATTATACGTAGATAATAGAATAAAAAAGAATACTTACATGTGTTATATCGATTTTGCGAATCGAATATATTTGACTTGTTTATGGCACGAAAATATACCTATCTGAGAAGCTGTTTGATAAGGCTAACGTAGTACGATACAGGGGCATTAAAGGTAATGAAATGCAACATATATATAATAAATTCATTTTTAAAAAACCAAAGAGCGCTCTGTAATATATAACAAACTATATTGATTCACAGTAGAAGTTCCTTCGAAGATGTAGATATATCACTGATGTATGTTTGTGTGTATACGAGGTAAGGAAAACGTCCAAACCGGTGAAATATCTTGAAAATAAAACATAAAAAAAAATATTTCGTGCAAAAGTTGTAGAGTTTAAAATGATCTACAACTTTTGTATGAAATATTTTTTTCAAAAATGCTTTATTTTCGAGATATTTTACCGGTCCGAAATTTTTTCCTCACCCTATATATGTCTATTTGATTTTACATTTATACATATACACACACATCATATACGCACCACATACCACACAGACACACACACACATACATATATGTGTGTGTATACATTTTTATATATGGAGCAAGAGATAAACAAATGCTAGCATTTTTTTTAACTCATTAAAGGCGCCCATTTTATTTCTGAAATAATACATCTTTAATAAAAATTCTATATTAATTTTAAAAGTAGAACAGAAATAATTTCCAGAAATCTAAGTGAGACAAGTAATCCAAAATCAGATCACTGGAGATGAAAAGGAACAGCAACAAGAATACAGAATCTTCGGGATCCTGTTGACGCATGCTAATATTAATCCTATGTTTAAAAGATCCCTTATAAATTATCAGTTCTTTCCAATATAAATTCTTTCTTAGTACTCATCGCAATGTTAAAGGAAAATTAACGTAAATCAGCCTTTAATGAGTCAACTAACCGAGATGATACGCTCTCCGTACTCATTGTACAGTGATTAAATCACGATTAGTCGAGACCAACGTCATCGTGAGGAGACGATTTCGGAGGATTAAAACGACCAGCCCCAGCACCGGGAAAACCAGGCATACCGCCCGGGAAATTCATCCCGGCAGCGCCAGGCATACCGCCAACACCGCCGAATTTCGAAGCCATTTTATTAATAAGGGCCATTACCTTGGGATTGTTCTGATATTTGAGAACATTCGTCGGATTCGTAGAGATCTCCCTGAACGCCTCGGCCACTTCCGGATCCTATACATTCATTCACAAAAACAATCAAGTTGCGCATCAAGATTCATTAAAATTATATGGATTATCGATAAAAATTATATATTTAATTTCTACTCAATTTCTCGTAATCTTAACTAAATCATTTATTCCTATTCAATTTATTACTATTTCCTTACTTAGAAGTAAAAGAAAGAAATATATACTTGAATGTGGAATATTTATTCTTGATAAGTTTAAAATATGATTAAAATTGGTCCTTTAAAGTCAGAAATTATGATCTTTCTTTAATATTCTAAAATGTGTAATTATAAAATCTGTATATTCAGAGATAATCATTTTTATAGTTTTCAGATATGAGCGGAAATAAAAAATATCTTCAATAAGTGTTTATTAAAAAAGTAATTGAAAACTTTTAAATCATTATATAAAATTTCTAAACGAAATAACTTTTATTTAAAAAAAAAACTGTTTTAACTATTATTTAAAAAAAAATTGCTAATTGCAAATGTATACACTTAAACCAAACACACTATATATGTATACTAAAATTGATGAAGTTTCAATATCGAGAAATATTTTTGCGTTATTTCACATTTTTCTATGCAGTAGCATGTGTATCGCTCGTTATATTTTCCAAAAAAAAAAGAGCATGACTGATATTGTCAATTTAAAAAGACTATAGCTTTTTCTCGCGACTTACCTCGAAGGCTTGAAGTACATCAGGATCTTTAAGAAACTGATAGAAATCTCCTGCGCCAGGGGATGTATTTCCCGCATCCGTTTGAGAAGTTCGCGTATTTTCCTCACGAGCTTTGGCTGCCTCTCGCGCTTTCCGCAATCTTTCTTGTCTCTCGCGCTCCAATTTTTCTTGCGCCTTCCGTTCCTTTTTTCTTTTATGTTCTTCTATTTTTCGCGCCTAATACACAATGAGTGTAACATTATTTATTCGTTTTGTTAAAAAAATATTTACTTAAGGTAACTCGGTAAAAGTACTGCATCAAAAGAACTAAGCACACACACAAGAGACATTAGAATTACAGCTTACATACTAGTAGAATGTTTACTCTCGTAAAGAAATCTTTGAGAATTCGCAGATTTTCCAAGTGTTTTTATTCAAAATTCTAGATAAGAGACCCAGAATAAGAGAATGTTAAGTGCAATTTTGAAAGGGGGACGAGTGTAGGGTGGACCTCGTTTGGACTTCGTAGTAGTTATTCTTCCGATATAAGCGTGCAATTTAATTAACATTACATTTTTTTTACATTTTTTTTCTCTCAGTGATATGTGGCAGAATAAAGCTATAAGCTTGATGGCAAACGCGCAAGGTTCAATCTAAACATAGGCGTAAGCAAATGATCGCAATCCTTGTGATCTTTTACAGAAAAGAGCGATCCACCGTGCGCCTTTAGGAACGCGTCCAAATCTTAAATTATAATGACGTGGAACATGCCTGGCTGAAAATCTATGTATATACATATTGTGACCATATACAATTAACGAGCTTATTATAGATCGCAAAATGGTCCATTTAACTCTCATCATTTTCCAAAAAAATGCTGTAAAACTTTGTACTAATAGGCTAGTATTCATAGTTGATTTTTATTTGAAAATTATCTTAAGTAACGTCTTAAGATTAATACAGCGATTGATTTATGACATTTTAAGACAATCTTAAATACACAAAAATCGACTTTGGACATAGCCTGGTAATGCTTGCGTCAAGCTTTGAAAATTGTAAATTCAGTTTGTAAATAAACAATATTAAGAATCTTTATTTTAGACCGTATATATATGAGAAATGCAATCAATACTAGAAAAATGCCTATTGCGCATTTAATTTGCGATTACGAGAGTAGTTTTAATTGCTTTTATACTCCGGAAAAACAATTCGACGCGCAGTTCTAAAAAGACTACAATATAATATATTATATATGCAAGTACATATATAGTATATGTTAATAATTCAAGACTGAATTATTTAAAGAAATGAAAATCCAGCTTCGACCGTAATAAGCATTTTTTTAGTATTGATTGAGTTTATAAATAATTTTAATAGAAACATAGTTTGTAAAATTCATTAAATATCATAGAAAATTAAACAATTTCAGAGTCATCTAACTGCAAATAGCACAAGGTATTAATCGAAACCATAATTTTGTAAATATAAGCTTTATATATATATATATATATATATATAAATAATAGAATAAGACATATAAATAATATCCATACATGCACTCATATATTATATGTATATCACACACACATACGCACACGCACACACACACACACATACATCGTGCAAGATATTTTCTTTACTGGAGTATAAAAAAGTTCCTCAAAAGGTAATTAAGCATTTCTTTCAACTACAAATCTAATTAATTAAATATATGGGTTTCCGCGAGTTTCAGTGAGTTTCAGTGAGTTTCAGTAAAAAAAGAAAATGAAGTAAAATGGAGGAGAGGAGAAAGAGAGGACTTTTGCACGGCGGGCCACCTTATACGGATGCGACCCGGGCTTCTAAATATAAAGGCGCCTGCGGTTCTGACGTTCCTTTGCTTCTGTGCGCGTGTATTTCGGCGAATCTCATCTCTCTGGTTGTATGTTACGCTTCGGTTAGTTATCTTCACCAATGAAGCAGTAAAATTCCCATTTCTATGCTCATAATTAATAAATTAAAGGATATACGTGAAATATTGAAAATCTATTAGCTATCTCAGCACTCATCATGCATTATAATTTGAGAATTTAATTATAAATTTTATTCAGAAAAAAATGATGATACTGACACTCTTAATGAAATTATTAGATATTTTAGATACTGAAAATCAATTTAATATTTTTTAATCACTATTACTCCAAAGTCAGAAATTCATTTATAAAAAAAGCTGATAAAAAATAGCAATAAAATATTGGTGTTATATAGTATCATATCGCTTATATTTGCAAAATCAAAAATTCCTTCACACAAGTCCTGCACACAAAATCAAGCAAAAAATTTAGTGATTCCTGATAAAATTTCGAATAGTAACTTAATACTCTCGAAATGTTGAAAACGCGAAAGCACAATGAGAAAATCCAGATTTTAATCCCAGAGATAAAATTTGGAAATTTAAATTTAGAAATTTCAGAAATTTCGAACATGTTAGAATTCTATATTCATACCTAAAAATTTTACGGTCAAATTTTGCATTTTATCTTTTCATTACTACATTTGGTGCTAAATGCACGATAACGTGGATGCAACCTTAATCTCTCAGTTGGGCCGGCAATACTGCAAATGAGTGGAAAAGAGATAATGGAAAATAGATGTTTTCGTAAATGAAAAAGTGGGTAGAATAAGTCATAATGGAAACTGTGAAGTTTCCGGAAATGACGTTCGGTGCGATTTCATCACGACTCGCACCAATGAGATCGTCAAGCGGTCAACGATTTACGTCGCTATCTGGTTCAGATAAATCTTTTCGATAAGCTCTAGGAAAATGTGAAAGATATTTTTAAATGCACTATAATATAGTCTAAAATTTCTACGACATTAGCTCCAGAAGAAAGATATTATGCCAATACATATATATATATATAGCTATGCCAAGTATTTGCAGTATTAATAATATTCAAAAAGTTACTATTAGTTACAAAATTATCAAGAATACAAAGAAAATTATCAAAAATACTAGAGGATCAGATTGTCCTTAGAATCATCCTTAAAAATATTAATCTACAATTAATAAATTTAGACGATTAAATATCAAAGAGCTAACGGTAATTAAAATTTGAAATAAAATAGTAACAAATATATAATATTGATTTTCAATTAACATTAATTCATATTAACAAAATATTCGAGAATCGATTAAGAAAGTATTTCAACTGTATATATACAGGGTGTCTGGAAATAATCGCCAAATATTTTATGGGCAGGTAGAGAGGACTAAACTGAGAAAAGTTTTCTACCATTTTACAATTTTCGCAATAATTAACAAGATATTAATTACTAAAAATTGCCAAATATTGGTCTTGAATAATTTTTTATTCAAATACTATCAACTTTATAGAAAAGCTGCAAGAGACAAAAATTATTTATTTTCTTCTCATAAAGTTCTAAGAATTTTTTCAAAATTTTTTATCAACTTTTTAGTACTGCATTTTCTTTTTTTTTTTTACCAACATAAGAAAATACGGTATTAAAAAATTCTGAAAAAATTCTGAAAAAATTCTCAGAACTTTATGAGAAGAAAATAAATGATTTTTGTCTCTTACATACTGATAAAACGAAAGATTGTTACTTGTAATAAAATGAAACTTTTACATATCAAGATATAAATTACAAGAAAAAATATTTCTTTATGCTAGCCTTGAAATAATTAATTCGACGGTACTGATCAATGAATCCCAAAATTAGGCAAAGTTACGAACTTGCATCCTAAAACAATTATTTCGAACGCGAATTTCGTGTAATGGCGTGAAGTAAGTGACCTTGTCATGATTGATCTATGTCATGTGTCCGCAAAAATAAGAGCTACCCACTACTTGTCGAAAGAGATCTTTCTCTCCTTTTTTTACAATAGTTAGTAACATTACACGTTATTCAATACGTCATAACTAAGTCGAGATCAGAAACAATATCAAATTGGTGCATCGTTGCTAATACATTCAGTATTCAAAATCAAATCGTTAAATAACGTTAAAGCGAGTGTATTCGTGAAGTCAACAGATAATAGCTCTCACAGCTGTCGCTCGGGGCTGACTCTGGCCACAGTGCTCGATGATTTTGGCCACACTCGATATAACGTGTGCGCGAGTAAGTGCTTCCGCATCCGTCGGAAGTTTCTCCGTCGTCCGACTGATGACCACGAAATCCAAAGGCTCGTGGAAAAGTGGGCCCGTGGAAAAGTGGGACGGTAGAGAAAAGGAAAAGAAAAGCGACGTCACTGTCCCTACGTCCATTGCTTCCATGAGATAAGAAGAAGAAGAAGAAGAAGAAGAAGAAGACGAAGAAGAAGAGAGAGGGGCGTCTTTCGGGGTTTGACGGTAGTGACAATGCCAGTGCCTCGCGAGCTAGTTGGAGTTGAGGGCGACGACGGGATCGAGAAGTAAGAGAGGACGAGCTGTGTGCCAACCCTGGCCCCGGCCGATCGCGTAGTGTCTAGTGTGACGAGATGACGGGTGCGCGGATGAGACCCGCGCTCGTCGTGGGCCTCCTCCTGAGCTTTCTAGCCGTTGCCTTACGAGGTCAGTAAAACCATCAGAAACCCCACGCGGCTAAACCTTAGCATCTTGAAGATTGGATCGTACCTTGAGTTGGATCTCTTCTCGCGAACATGAATTTATTCTCGTGCGGTCAGTGACTTCGTTAGATTTAAATCGGTTGATCCTGTCGTAACCAATAAATTCAAAGTATCCGGCTTATTTGTCACTAAGTGTGTTGTATTTTGAATACTTGCTACAGAATTTCTTCGCGATAAACTCGTATGAACATTTCTTTATTAATCTTGTCATCGATATCAAATATTAAGAGTTCTTCTCGATTGTGCTGTAACTAGATTGTTACAATTTGAATGTTCAAGCTAATTTTAAGCTAGTAGATTGACTGATTCCAAAATCCAAATTATGTGACCAGAGTTGCAGTAGCAAAAAAAAATGTGGGAAAGAAAGCTTCGATCGAAACGTACATCGATCGTCGACGACAATGAAATTGAAATGTTGACGAAACTATGACGATTGACTGACGAAGGTCAATGTTACGTAAAGATATCCGGTGCGCGTCATCAGTCCCTTATAGCTTTCTTGTTTCTGTATCTATATGTACTGATGATTCAGCCATAATTTAATATATCTCGCAGAATCTATTAAGAATCTTGTTGATTCTAATCAATCCAATATTTTTTAAATAATTTTATCGAAAATAAGATTACA